ATCAAACATGGAAGACCAGGCTCCTGCAGATTTGAAAACAGTGGCGACTTACATGACCAACAAAGGCTGGTTACTCAATCCAGCAAAATCCCAGGGCTCTGCCCAAATGGCAATGTTTTGGCAAATAACTTGGGCAGGAGCCACTCATAGCCCGTGCAAACAAGTTGCTGTTATTCCCTACTCCCAAGACTAAGCAGGAAGCTAGTGTTTGGTTGGCATATTTGGATTTGGGAGGACTCACATTCCACACCTATGAATATTAATAGCTCCCATGCATAAAGCGACTCAGAGGAAACTGTATTTGAATGGGGGTCTGATCAATAGCACCCAATGTCCATGAACAGATAGCCTCATTTCCTGCAGGCCCTATCCTGGAACCCCCTGGGAAGATCCAGAGCCCACTGACACATAGTCCCCTATGAACAGCTTTTGACAGGTAGACCTTTGGACTCCCAAATAGCAGTTCCAGGGCATGTGGAAAACATCTGGTATGGAATGCTTCGGCATTAGAGCAGATGGAGCCTGCGATTGAAGAAGCTAAGAATAGGGCATCTCGGTGGGCTGAACTGTGTAGTTTTCCTAGCTGTGAAGGAAGAACTGGACAATGGTAAGAGCCCATCTATTTGGATTTCTACTAATTTATGGACAGTGATCAACGGTTATGATTTATGGTTAGGCAAATGGGCAACAGAAAACTAAACTATTAAAGGATCACTTGTATGGGGCAAGGACTTATGGAAAATACTATGGGAATTTAAAGGGCACATCAGAGTAGGTCAATGAGCAATAGAACCCCCTTCCTGGATCAGAAAGCGATGGGAACCAGTAAGTGGACATGTTAGTAGGTTCCCTTGAGGTGGCCGATTGGGTCGGCGAGATGAGTGAATATTAGAGTGCTGCAGCAATGCAGATTGGCTGAATAGATACATAGCTCCTCCAGCCTCGGAGGCACACAATGTAAATAAGGACTGCTCTGGCTGCCAGCAGGAAAAGCAGAAGTTTTGATGGCTATGCGGCATGTTCCTTGGGGAAAGGCCCTGCATACAGCTGGTAAATCAATTATATCAGACCATGATACCAGTGGCACCAGGTGACTACAAATGGACCCTCACAAGAATAGACACGTACTCTGTATTGGGCTTTGCATTTCTAGTAACATGCGTACACTAAAAACACCATCAAGGGGTTGGAACATACGATACTATAATAGTTTGGGCCACCAAGATATATCTCCTCAGACTAAGAAGTACACTTTACAGCCCACAGGTGCAGGAGTGGGCCAAGACACATATTAGATGGGCACATTATGTTGCATACCTCCCTCAGAGTAATGGGTTGGTAGAGAATCGGTATGGGCAGTTGAAATATTTTTAGCCCAAACGGGGTGAAGATAAAGGCATGAGGGCATGGCTTTCACCTCTTCCTAAGTGTGTGCTCATACTCAACACGAAGCAGACAAAGGGAGGATCACCAACAGATAGATTTCTACATTTCCCTGGAGTCTGGGGAAGACAGGTAGGGGAGTATACTGACTCCAGTGTATACAGTGTCCAGAATTGTAACACATCACCTAAGGATGTATTATGTGGCCATGGCTAGAAGGGCCATATTGTGACTACATCTCACAAAGTTACATGACAATTACTAAAGTTAATATTGAATTGAAGAATTCTACCAACGTCTTCAGTCTGAAATTGATCAAATATGCAATCAAGATATACTGATAATTACTGTTGACTGGAATGTGAAATTTGGGAACGCAGAGCAAGGATGAGTAGTTGGACATAGGGCCTTGGTCACAAAATTGAAGATGGAGATCACATGGTTGAATTTTGCAAGATCAACAACTTCATTGCACAAAGCTATTTAGAACAACATAAATAAATGGTGACTATATAAATGTACCTCACCAAATGGAACACACAGGAATCAAACTGCCTATACCTATGGGAGGAGGAGATAAAAAGTACAATATCATCTCATTAGCCAGGGGCTGAATGTGGAACAGACCACCAATTGCTCATAAGCAAGTTCACACTGAAGCTGAAGAAAACAAAACAAATTTGACCTTGAGTATATCTCACCTGAATTTAAAGACCATCTAAAGCACAAAATTGACACACTGAACACTAATGATTGAAGATCAGATGAGTTGAGCTCAGTCAAGAACATCATACATAAAGGTAAAATATGATTAAAAAGATAGGAAAGAAAAAAAGACCAAAGTGGTTATCAGAAGAGACTATCAAACTTGTTCTTGGACACAGAGTACTTAAAGATAATTGAAGTAAAAGAGCTGAAGAGAAAATTTCAAAAGGCAGCTTGAAAAGACAAAGGAAAGCATTCGAATGAAACATGAAAATTGTCATTAGAAAACCAAATGAGAATAATGAGCTCATACCCCAAGTTGAAAGAACTGAAGAGAAAATCCAAGATGCAATATTGCAGGACACTATGGGCAAAATATTGGGATATAGGAAACAACAAAGATGGAAGGGCAGACAGAATCACTGTACCAAAAAGCACCGGGTGACATTCGACCATTTCAAGAAGTAGCATATGACCAAGAATCGATAGTATTGGAGGAAGAAATCCAAGTTGACCTTAAAATACATTAGTGAAAAATAAGGCTTCAGGAATTGACAGAATGTCAGTGAAAATGCTTCCACAAACTGATGCACTACTAGAATTATTCACTAGTTCATGCAAAGATATTTGCTATCCAGTCAACTGATGCGGAGTCACACCTGTTGAAACATGCCCATTCCAAAGAAAGGTGACCCGATAAAATGCATAAACTATGGAATGAGAATTCAAAAATAGTTATAGCAATGCACCAATAGGGAGCTGCCAGAAATTCAAGCTGGATTTAGAAGAGAATGTGAAATGGGAAATAATATTGCTGATGAATGAAAGCAGAGAATGCCACATGGATCTTCACGTGTTTTATATTAACTATGCAAAGGCATTCACTGTGTAGACCATAACAAACTATGGATAATAGGTCTAAGAAGTGGAATCATAGAACACCTAGTTGTGCTTATGCAGAACCTATACATAGACCAAGAGGCTGCTGTTCAAACAGAACATGGGGATATTACATGCTTTAAAATCAGGAAAGTTGTCCTTCATGCTTTTATTCTTTCATCATCTTTATTCAATCTGTGTGCTGAGCAAACAATTAGAGAAGCTGAATTATATGAAGAATGAGATATCAGAGTGGACTAAGGTTTATTAACAACCTGCATTATACAGTTTATACAACCTTATGTGCTCAAAGTGATGAAGACTTGAAGCCCTTAGTGATGAATATAGCCTTTGATATATATTAGAAGCAACCCCAAATCCTCCAACTGGACCAATATATTACATCATGTTAAATGGCGAACGATTTAAAGTTGTCAAGAATTTAATTTGATTTGGATCCAAAACCAATACTGGAAGCAGTGAAGAAATCAAGACATATTGCACTGGAGGACTCTATATAAAGAGTAAGGATGTCACTTTTAAGATCTAAGCTGCACTAGACTCAAGCCATGGTACCTCCAATCACCTCATATGCCTGTGAAAGCTAGACACTGAAAAAGGAAGACTGCTACAGAATTGATCACTTGAATTTTGTTGCTGGTCAAGAATAGAATAGTATGGACCAGGGCTGCCAGAAGAAGCAATCTGCCCTTCAGGAAATACAGCCAGAAGTGAGGTCGGCAAGACTTCATTTCACATGCTCTGGTCTTGTGAGCAGGAAAGACCAGTCCTGGAAAATGGTGTTATGCTAGGTAAACTAGAGGGTCAGCAAAAAAGACTCTCAGCCAGATAGACTGATACAGCGGCTGCAACAATAGACTCCAACAGAACAACTGTGAGGCTGGGGCAGGACCAACAGGGACAGCACCTAGCCCGGATCTCTGGTTTTCCTCACTTTTTTTCTCTATATTTATTCTAGAACACTTTGTAGTTGTTTCTCCATGCTATTCACTTAAATTAGTAAATTCTTTCTTTCTAGTTTCTTGTATACTAATTTTTTCTTCAGTTGGGTCTAATAACAATACTTACAAGTCTGTTTCAAAAGAATTTTCCAGTGAATATATTTCTTAATTTTTAAAGATTACATCTGATTATTTTTCAAGCCTGTTTCTATGCTTTATTGCTTATATCTGTGATGAAGCCTCAGAGAATTAAATCTAATGTTTATTGTTTGTATAGTTTCTCTCTCATGCTAGCTAGTTTCAACTTGTATATGGTGATTTCTAATGATGAGCTAATATTTCTTTATCTTAATCTGTGGAAATCTAAATGAAAGAATATCTGCTCTGGCAGGATCTTTGGGACAATGTAACCCATTTAAGCCTCTCCTCAATGGCTCAAGGCAGAGTTTCAGAGTCAGATTTCTCTCCTTGTTTCTGGACCAAAGAAAATGACACATAACAGTACTGCTAGTGACATGGACATCATGCCACCAAAGTCCATCTGCATGTTAACTTTAACATTCATCGTTACTAATTGGAAAGAGGAAAGATAGAAATGTGTTTGTTGGCAATTTCTTTGAGCCTATTAATGCACTCAAAAGTAGAATTTATTGAAGGTTTAGTTGTTTTGCAGCATCTAATCTAACACAGTGTTGCTGCTGGAAGCGAAAGTCTTATTAAAAATGATGATATACTAAGCTGAGCACTTAGCATGATTTATGTCAGTCCTTACGGACTCAAGCTTATCTGGAAAAGTTAGCTGACCCACTTTTATAACACAACATGCAATATCTTAGAATTGCATTTATACTAGAAAAGTCATAGAGTATAAATGTATCTAATAGATTGTTCTTACTTTGTAGAAATTTTTCCTGAGTTTTGCTATTACTAACATGAGACAGCCCTGATTATTTAAATTTCCAATGTATTGATCAATGTGGGACCGAGATCCAAAGGACTTAAATCTAAGATATACACCACCATTTTGAAGCTTTTTAAGAATAGGTAATTATTTGTTACATGCAACTTTCATCTAGGTGCATAACTTTATTTTTGGAAATCTGGGCCACCTATAATAGAAGCAAGCCTAAACAAGGCAGCAGGTGATTGCATCTGAGTCAGAAACACACCAAGTAGGCAAGGATGCAGCAGCAACAGCTGCTACTGTCTTAAAGGAGATTGGACCGTTTACATCTTTATTAGTCATAATTGCTGGTCAGTCTTTGGATGATGAGGAAGCTCTTTGTGCCTCTCTCTAATCACTGAAGTAATGAAAGGAGATGCCCGCAGCCAGGACTGCAACCACAAAGGCTGTAATCACACCTAAAAAACAAAACAAAACACATAACAAAACCAAATAGAAATGGAAAGTACAAAAGAAAGGCTTAATTGATGCAAGGTATTGCGATTTGCATAACTGATGGGCCTATTAAAAGGCAGGTAAGTCTTTGAGCCACATACAGCAGTAAGCTGAAAAATTTAGATTGCACGGGTTTGGACTAGCAATCATTTACATTATCACCTTAGCATAATCTACACAGAAGAGGATCTCTCTCATTGACACAAATGTACTCATACATACCTATGTAAAACTATCATGAACTTTAAAAGAATGTGAATATGCCAGTTGTCTTAGGCTACTTAGCTTCAACCAAAAACATAACCCAACTGGCAATGGTTGCTGACCATTACAGAGCAAATTCATTTCTACAGCTTCCTAAAATGCAGAAGCACCGTGCTTGCTCCGGCAACACATATGCTAACACGCAGAAGCACTGTCATAAAATTGCTTAATTAGTAAGTTGGAAGCAGTCATTTTTATTATTACATAATAATAAAATTATAACTTAAAAAATTTAGTATAATAACTTTAAAAAAAAGACTATAGTAGAAGCCAGACTAATCTACACACAAACACATGATACAAAAAACTTATAAAATTAATGTAAATTTCTCTGAAGAGTGACAATAAAAAGCTTCTGGCTTTTAATTCTTAGTCAAAAATCATCATGCTAATAAAATCATTGTTTAGATTGGTATTCTGTTGAAAATTAGCTTGCATGTTCTTTGCTTAATACATCTAGAAAATGTGAGGCAAGCATTACACTGCTGTACTTCATGGAATCTTCATAATAAAATAAATTATAAATTTCCAAATCAAATTTTACTTTTTCACAGAACTTGTACCAGCATGTCCTGCAATAGCAATTCTGGAATTACTAGCTTGGAAAAAACAGGTCTGACTATATGAACCAATTGATAAAACAATACACACCACCTCCCTCTAAAAATACATATTAAATAACCACATTCTTATATCTTTTACCTCCAGGGCTGCTGGCACGTTTTAGAATACTCAGTAAATAGTTAGCTTAATTTCTAAGTTAACTGAAAAGCTACCAATTCAAATCCACTCAGGTGCCTGGACAGACAACCTGGCCCGCGGCTTCTGAAAGGAAACCGCAGGCTGGCACTGCTCTCCTCTGGTACACAACGGACTAGGTGGCAATTAGCAACAACAAACATCACTTATAAGAACAAAAGAAAGAAAGAAAATACTTCTCAAGAGTAAAAAATGATAGGAAAGCTAAACTCAAACTATTATCTTTTCTGTTATAAAAGAAGCAAAGTACCTATATTTTGCTGGATTTTCAATACCACCGCAGTTTTCATTGGTTGTGTTGGTTGTTCATCCTCATCCGTGTTGCCCAAAGAAGGTTGCCTGTCCACAGAGGAGCTCACACAAGCTATATGAGGAGAACAGGGGTTACAGAAATAGAAACACACCAGTTCAGAAATGCTTTGAAGAACATTTTAAATATATACAATCAACACATTTTTCCTTGTTCTTGTCTTTATCCTGTAGAATTTTCACATGTACAATTAAATCAAATGAACTATATATGTCAAGCTGAAACAATTTAAAAATAGTTTTCACAGTGCTAAATATAATGCTATGATTGACCTATGTTATGACTGGATGGCCACAGAGCCAGTTCTGAATGAATCTCACAAATTATCATTTGAAAAATTAATACCCCCAATCAAACAGGAGCTTGGTAAACTTTCTAAATTGGGATGTAGTCTATACCATTCTTACTGGCTATTTTAGTAATTAAGAATTTCAAACACTTAAAATGAATAATAAAACCAGGAGTCAGCAAGCTGCACCTCATGGGCCAAATTTACTATTTTTTGTACTAATCATGAGCTAAGAATAATTTATATTTTGTAAAAGTTTGTAATTGTAAAAGGTTGTTATGTGGCCCACAGACCTTAAAATATCTACTATTTGGTTATAAACAAAGTTTTCCAACTCCTAGTATCACCTGAAATATGAAATATACAAGAAAAATATAATCACATAGTTGACATTAAAGACAATTAGGAAGGTTAAGTAGGCAAGTACATTGTCTATATTTTCACAGAAGGAAAACAAAAATTGGGTGAGCTCTAAGTGCCCATTTGAGGGTTAAGGGTGGAAGAGACAGGATTCAAACACAAATGGTCATTCCATTTCACTGTGCTGTCAATGATTTATATAAGCTTGGGCCTACCTGAACTCATTCAATACTGACTATAAGTGTTTCAATAGAAACATCCTTAGAGATTATCAAGGCGAGTCATTCCTACCTCCTCACTCCCAAACCCAGGGTGCTAAAGAACCCAAGAAAAATAAGCAAAAAAATCATACAGGAAATTTCAGGATATAAAATAAATGAAAATACAACTGTTCTGAGTTACAACATGGATTGAGGGTTCCTGGAAGTTAGACCAAGAGCCTTGGTGAAATGGTACTTTAGGTATTAGGCTGCTAACTAAAAGGTTGGTGGGTCAAACACACCAGCTATTCCAAGGGAGAAAAAATGTTGGCAGTCTATTTCCTTAAAATTTATATTGTCAGAAACCACATTGGGCAGTTCCACTCTGTCCTATAGGGTCATTCAGAGTCCAAAGTGGTGGGCAGGGGCCAGAACCCACTGAACCCCATTTGCCAATGCCACAGAAATAGTGGGAGTTCACCTCTACTCCAGGGAAGTCCATTTGAAATAGTTCATGTCAATCGCTGATTAAAAATAGTTGAAGAAATTACACACAAAAATACCAAACAAACATCAAGCCATTATGTTGGGTGGATTCTGACTCACGGCTAGCCTGTAGGATGTAAAAGAATGGTCACCCAAGGTTTCTCAAATGGTAACTCTTTAGTAAAGCTGACTCCTGCCAACCTTTCCGCTAGCAGCCAAATGCTTTGCTACTGTGCCTCTAGGGCTAAATGCAACTAGCATTTAACTTAGAGTGAAACAGTCCATTGATTAAAAATGCTCTAATACCTTAATATACCAAGGATGACATATGAATTTACTGAAACAGGCATCCAAACCTAAAACTAACTCCATTCTGACTTAAAGTGGTAACAAAATGGATGAAAGAAAGAGAAGAAAATTCCTTCTTTTTCATTACTTTCTCTGGAAGTTTACTTCAATTTTCCATTGGACAATCCCTATCTTTTTGTAGTACAGTATAATATAAATAACAACCAAAAGACCTTTGTTTTTCTTCTGCACCCACATCAAATTAATTACTAGGGTCAGCACATTCTTTTTCTTAGTCTCTAGGGTCATTCAGTCTTCCATATTTTTCCCCATAGATTCTAGTTTCTTCAAGGCCTTTAGTTTGAAACTAAATAGTCCACCAGGTGCAAAATTTTCCCAAGTTTAGCCTAGGTCTACATGTAAAATTGAATAGGCAGTACTGTTTAAATTTTATGGTTATATATTTTTAAAAAGTTGGCTTTCCTCTTACCAATACCACAATTAAAAATCATTTCAATAATAGGGTGAATATAACCTTTATGTCATGATAAAAAGTTATAAAAAGTAATACATGAATCATGGATTTTACTTATTTACTACAAGGTACTTTTTTACTTGAGTACTTGTATTGAAAGACATAAAATGTTTGCTATACTTGATATATCACTTATAAATTTAAGTACTGAAACTCTGTAAGTGGCCATGACTGCCAAAGGAAAGCATCCCCTGCACACATAATTCACTTCTGTGAAAGAATACATTCCATTAAGCTATAGCACAGATCATGCAGATCTGATAGGAATTTGTGATCATTTCACGGAAGCAGAACATTTTTCAAGGAGCAACAAGGTTTTTCAATCAAAGTGTATTTGTTTGCTTTTGATAAGGACTTATACTATTTAAACTCAAATCTCATATACCCTGTCATGTCACCAATAGTATAGTCTCCAAAATTTACATATTCAATAGAAAACAAAATCACAACCATCCCTAATTTTAGTTACTTTAACTTCAGACAAAGCCCAAACTGGTAAGATGAACTTTTTTGGGCTGCTGTCAAAGAAAGAGAAAACCCAGACCATGCAGTACATGCGCGCCAAGATGAAGACACACTCCGATTCCATTCCAAGCTGCTGATGGGGAGGCAGACTATTCAGAAGCTTAAAGTGAAATGTTAAGACTTGAACTCTTTAGCTGTAGTTCTTCTTCCCTATTCCTGAATTCTAAATCAGTAAGACTGATTTAGTCATAAAATATTATCTTCAATACTTTTAAAATTATCAACGCTTAACCCAAACAACAAAATTTAATTTCAGCTCTGACAATGAGACAGAAGTTCTACCAAAGTAAGTTCTATCAAATTTAAAGGCATGTCTCCAATTTTTTTAGCTGATAGGATGGGTAAAGTACCTCTAAATTACTAAGTTAATGCTTACTAAGAGATGACTAACAGATCTAAGAAACTGTAAAGCCAAGGTTATCCCTCACCTTTTCTGTGAGTCATTTAGACAAACAAATTGTTCTTTATCCTTTAAGTCATTTAAAGTATGTTATTTTAAAGTATCTGCTTGGAAAAATATGTATTTTTAAACATAGCAACTACTTGGCAACTATATTAGAGAATCTAAATAATTAAATAATAAGGCAAATATTAATGACAAATATTTAGAAACTAAAACCAGATATTTATAACTGATTTAATAGTCCAAACTGCATGGTAACAGATTTCAAGCTTTAATTTGGGCACTTCAACTTTACTACTTACAGTTTATTTCATATCAAGATCCTAATTTCAAACAGGGAAATCTGTACATATTATAAAACATTATATTCACACAGTTTAATATTAATACTTTTTATTATAGATCAGGCATGCTTTTTAAAAGTTTAATAATAATTTTAGTTAATACCATCCTTTATTGATATAGGTTTAAAATTAGGAAAAGTGTGTGTCAGGGTTGTATCCTCTCACCATTCTTATTCAATATGCATGCAGAGCAAATCATCAGAGAAGCTGGATTATATGAAGAAAAGTGTAGCATCAGGATTGGAGGAAGGCTTATTAATAACTTGTGGAATGCAGATGACACAAACTTGCTTGCTGAAAGTAAGGAGGACCTGAAGCATTTGTTGATGAAGATCAAGGATTATAGCCTTCAGTATGGGTTACAACTAAATATAAGAAAGACCAAAATCCGCACAACTAGACCAAAAGGCATACTGCATTGGGTAAATCTGCTGCACAAGACCTTTTCAGTATTGAAGAGCAAGAATATTGCTTTGAGGGCTAAAGTGTGCATGACCTGACGTGGCATTCTCCATTGCCTCATATGTATGTGAAAGTTGGACATGGAATATAGAAGACCTTAAATGAACCAATGCATTTGAATCGTGGTGCTGGAGAAATATTACAAGTACCATGGGCTGCTATAAGGACAGACTCATCTATAATGGACGAAGTAAAGTCAGAGTGCTCCTTAGAGGCAACGATGGTATGACTTCATCTTACACACTCTGGACATACTATCAGAAGAGACCAGTCCCTGGAGAAGGACATAATGTTTGGTAAAATGGAAGGGTGCAAAAAAGAGGAAGAGCCTCAAGGAGATGGATTGACACAGTGGCTGCATCAATGGGCTCAGGCCTAGGAACAGTTGTGAGGATGGTGCCAGAATGTGCAGTGCTTCGTTCTGCTGTGCAGAGAGCAGCTATGGATCGAAGCCAAATCACAGGCACCTAACCACCACCACCACCACCTGTGGAGGGGCTGGTGGGCTCAAACTGCCGACTTTCTGGTTAGCAGCCACACCCGTAGCCACCGTGTTAGCAGGGCTCCGTTTCTTTAAGGTTACACAGACAGAAGCGGAAGACCCTAACTCAAACCAACAGTGTCTTGATATAATCACAGACTCACGTATATCTGAACAAGTGATTAAGCGAATATAATTCTAAGCAACAGCAAAAAAAGATATTTATGGAAAGACTTATTTTTCCTACCAAAAACTTTAATGTTTTTACCTCTTTTTCTAATTTGGGGATGTGATATTTCTCTATTAATAATGAATTAATAACTTATTATTTCTGATTCAACAAATATTTAATGAAACAAACAAACAGAATTCTAGAGCAGTCACACTTTGGAAGAAATATATCTGATATCAATGTTCAATTCCTAAAATGCTTAGAATTACTTACTTCAAAATCAACTCAGATGTGGCCTTCTCGAGAAAGTCTCTCCTGGAGCAGGTGTTTTCAGAATGACGAGGCCATGAATGTACAAATGTGCTTTACACAACTGATGTATGTGTATGGATTGTGATAAGAGTCATATGAGCCCCTAATAAGACGATTAAAAAAAAAGAAAAGAACCACCATATCAAAGATAAAAATAAAGGGTTCAAATAAGGAAAAAAAAAAAAGAATGCGATGTCAAAAAAAAAAAAAAAAAAGAATGTGGTGTTAATGGGATTAGGTATCAGAAGTTCAAAAACAAGCAATCAAATCGATGTGAAGTAGTGTGGACAACGTGGAGACTCAAAACCCACTTGCAAGACAATCAGGCAGTCCCTCACAGGGGAGCCGCACAGAAGGGATGAGGAATTCAAGGTGCAGTATAGCACTGACGAAACATACAACTATCCTCCGGTCCTTTAATATTTCCTCCCCTTAATATTAAAGCTCATGTTTCACCTCATTAACACTGTTAGACCTATGTATGTTCATCTGTATATTTAAGATTGTTCGATACAGGAATGCCAGGACGGATGACCCTTCAGAGATAGCACGGGGAAGAATGATACCCTGAGGATACAGGAAGACAAGAGCGAGGGGGAAGGGGGCAGGGGAGCTGATAGCAACGATGACTGTATAACCCCACTCAAGGGGAGCGAATAACAAAACTGTAGGTGAATGGATATATTGTATGGGATTAGATATGGCTAATGTATTTATATACAATAGAATAATCCTAATAATATATAACAATAATAACAAGGATTCCTGGAGGGAAGGGTGGGGGAGGGAGGGAATAAAGGGGAGCTGATATCAAAGAGTTCAAGAAGAAAGAAAATATTTGGAAACTGATTGTAGTAGCAATTGTATAAGTGTGCTGGATCTGTTTGAATTATAGAATGTTATTACATCTATAAGAGCTCCAAATAAAATGATGAATGAAAAAATTTTTTTAAAAAGGAAAGTCTCTCCTGAATACTTTACTGGGATAATGGATGCTGATCATTCTTCTAGTACAGACTTAATCATATGTTTTGGAATAACTCACTTCTCTGTATTTCCAACTCTACCGTGAGTTTTTTGAGACTTTTCTAATATATATTAGGCAATTAAAAAAAATAATTAGCTAATAAATCAGTTACGATTTATGTAAGTTTCAAAATTAGGGCAGAATATAGAAAGGTTCATATCCACCACACTTGACGTTGTATGTTTAATATACAGTTTTAGAAAAATATATATTATCATCTAGAAACTAAGAACTTAATACACATACACACCTAAACTTTCCAAATTGCAGTTTGCTTCCTTTGTCCTTGCCATATTAAACTCTTCCTACTCAGTTAATCCATCTCTACACTAGACTGCCAGCATAAAAAAAGAAATATAGACAGTCATTTGTAGAAAACAGCATGAAACAGATGTAAGATCCAATACTGAAAGGTTGTAAAATAAAAATCCATGAAAAATAAATGGATTAAAATTTACCTTATTTGTTTTTAAAATTATTTAAAATTAGTTGTTACTTGCTTTGCTAATAATTCATGTGTAAACAATGTTAATAATAAAGGCTTATTGAGGGAAAGTGGAGAAACAAGGATTAAAATATATGTAGTACACAGATAAGTCACTAGGTGGCAGAAATGGTTCATGCTTCGTCATGAACCAAAAGGTTGCCAGTTTGCTTTCACCGATAAAAATGACAACCAGGAAGAAGGGTCAAAGTAAAATATCGATGAAAATCAGTGTTTCCCAAAGTGGTTGACATCACATCCTGAGGGTGGCTGGGATAATCCAAGGAGCTGCAAAAGCAGATACTCACACTTTATCATGGATTGGGGCCTATAGTACAAACGCTTTTTAATTGCTAGGGGGTACCAAGTAATTTTTTCTGAAAAGGGAACAGAAAAAATTAGTTTAGTAACCTACAATTTACATCATAGAAAGGTATAGCCCTATAATCTGTAGTGCTTTGGTCACACAAAAAGGCAGTTCAACATAACTGTTTTGTTTTTTACCTTTTTGAGCCTCAATTTTCTCATCTGAAACATGAGTTTAATAATAGGATTTACACCAAAGGGTTGTTATAATAATTAAATGATTTAGCATGTTTAAAACTCTTGGAATAGCAACTGGCACTTAGTAAGTTCTATGATGATAATGATTAATATGATTAAAGTATTAGGCTTAATTCAGGCTAAATTATTTCAAGAGAGTCAAACCAGAAAATATTTAAAGAAAAAAATATGTATATAATTGGACAGTTCAGCAAACCTATGCCTAATAAAAACTTTGATCTAATGTTTATAAGTGCTTATTTCAACTTATTGTCCCCATTATATAAAGGCGATATGGAAAGAAAGGCAAAAATAGAGTAAATATTGAATAGTGTTTAAAAACTTTGTGCCATGATATTTAACTAAGTAATTAATCAAGACACTGAGTTTCAAGAAAACATCTGGCTCACAATAAAAGACCTTAAAGTTATATATTTTCATGTATTTTAGACTGAAGTCATTTTATGAAGTTATACTCACTGGGCTTGAAAAAACTAAGATATCATCAATTTTGATATAAATTCTAAGAATACACTTTATGTTTATATAAGTAGAAATTAAGTATACACTTTAATATGCCTCAGCTACATTTTGGTGTGTCAAACAGAGCTAATTTGAAGGAAATCTGAAGACACAGTATTTACTCTATATGTTTCTTGCAATCTTATATTCTAATAAGGCTCTTAAATACATCTTGTAATCACCTGTATTTATTTCCTCTGCAACTTCCAAATGTTCTAATTGAATCCTTTGATCTAACAGCTCTATAAAATGATCTCTGATTTCTTCAGCTAACTCATCACCAAACTTGTAATCAGAGAACATTACAGCGGATCCTGGAATGGGGACAAACACTCGGTGTGGGAGGATGTGGAGCTCTTTTCCAGGATCTAGAAGAGAAGGAACATCAGCAATAGTTAGAGACGTTGGCCACCAGTAAGAATGACAGACACTTTAAAAGGATAGACAGCTTCTACTAGAAATAAAGGTTAAAAGATCAACACATTTAAAAGGTACTTTCTAACACACCTGCTACAAAAGGGCATGAGGCCCTCTGCTCCCGCAGAGATTTGAGTTTCAAAACCCTCAGGACTAGTCCCACCCTGTGGTGGTTGTGAGACGGAATTGACTAGTTAGCAGTGGGTTTCTTTTTTCTTTTTGATGTCATGCAGGCCAGTGGCCCATGTAGTAGTATACAGAGCATATATATTTTACACAAATCTTACCACTGATTTCATCACAGAAGCACTTTCCAGCTGATATTGGACATCACGACAAACATTTTTGTATTCTAATCTCACTGCCAACTCCAACTTGCTGTTTTCATTTTCCTTTTTTCTCATAAATATTACTAGTATTTTAATAATTTTATCTTGACTTGTCTGCCTCCCTAAATATAGTCCTAAATAGTTTTTAGAAAAAATGAATCTGAATCTAAATTAAAAAATGAAAAACTATGTTTTATTATTCTTTCAAAATTCAAAAACTGGCCATTATAACATAGAGCCATGGTCCATGTAAATACATAACTATAATTTAGTTTAATAGTGATTCTAGTGACAAGGAATAAAAATGGAGATTTTGTATAAAGAATACATTCTTTTCAGTCATGAACCTGATTTAAAAAGCTGCCAATACCCGGAGTGAGGGCCAGGCACTCAGCGGGGGTCAGACCCAACCCAGGGATACATATGGCAGCCAACTAAAAGGAAGGAAAAAGAAAAAAAGAGGACATGGTTAGGGGGGAACAGGGCACTAACCCACCCACGGGGAGAGTATTGTTTATGTCTCCATAGGAAAAGGAAAGAGGGGCCAGACCTCAATCTGGTACGCCAAGCCTTGAGGGCTACACACCAGCATGAAGCAGCAAACTAACAGAGGTCTGCGGGGCCAGTTCCAGTCCCAGCTACATCGACCCCCTGCCCAGAACACTGAACTACAGAGGACAGCACTGAAGATACAGCCAGGGAGAGTGGCAGGTCTGCCCAGACCACATGAGAGCAAACTAAGAGGGAGGGAGGGAAGTGGAGAAGGTGGGAGGGAGAGAGAGAGAGAGAGAACCACATTCAGGCCCACCAAGCTCCAAGGAAGACCAGGGAAGGCAAAGAGTAAAGAGATGACTGTAGGGCTGGCCACACCACAAGACACGACGTCCCCTCACTGACCTACAGTGTTGCATGGGACAGCACTGGAGACAGTGCAAGAATTGTCCCTGGTCTGAACCCCCACACTGGGGCAAAACACAAAGGGAGCACAACAGAGCAACAAAGGGAGCAAAGCAACAAAGTCCCCAAGGTATCCTGAAAACAGACTTCAGACTCGGAGGGCAGGGCTTGGCACCTTATCAGACTCAATCGGAAAACATACATAAAGGTCATCAGACAGACCTGGAATTATTTATAGGCCCTTTATTTTCTTCTTTTTTGGCATGTCTATCTATATAAGATAGGAAAGCTAAACAATCCCAAGGAGAAAACAATGGGACTGATGGTTTCAGGAAGACAAGGGAGAGAGGGAGGTGGGGGAAACCAACAAACCTAGGGACAAGGGAGCAACGAGATCTAAAATTGATGGCGAGGAGGGTGGAGGATGCCTGATGGGGTATGATTAAGTGCAATGTAGCTAAGAGGAATTACTGCGAGCTGAATAAAGGTCAAACATAATAGTGAGACAGGAGGAAAGTAACAGGAAATAGAGGAAAGATCTAGTACCCAAAAGACTTTGATAGGGATATAGGTCTATGTACATATATTTATATGTTAAGTATCAGGGTAGAAAACGGACATTGGGCCTCTACTCAAGTCCTCCCTCAATGCAAGAACACTTTGTTCTAATAGCCGGGCATTCTGTGATGCTCACCTTCCCGACAAGATCGCTGAAGATAAAAATGGGTGCATAAGCAAATGTGGTGAAGAAAGTAGATGGTGCCCGGCTACCAAAAGATATAGCATCTGGGATCTTAAAGACCTGAAGATAAACAAGCAGCCATCAACTGAGAAGTAACAAAGCCCACTTGGAAGAAGCACCCCAAGCCTGTGTGATCATTAGGTATCCATGGGATTAGGTATCAGGCATCAAAAGACCCAGAACAAGCATCATATTGATGGGAACGAGAGGGAGGGCGGCGTGGACGCCCAAATCCCATCTGTAGACAACTGTTTATCTCCTCACAGAAAGGTCACAAGGAAGGGATGAGCCAGGGTGCAGTATAGCACCAAAGAAACACACAACATTCCTCTAGTTCTTTAAGGCTTCCTCCCCCCACTATCATAACCCCAGTTTTACCTTACAAATCCAGTTAGACTGGTACAGAGAAGATCTCTCGACACACAGAATCCAGGTCAGATAAATCCCTCAGGTATAATAATGGTAGTGATACCATGAGGGTAGAAAGAAGGGGAGAAAGGGGAAAACGATGCAATGATTAATGTATAACCACTCCCCACCACCACCACCAAAGAGACGAACAACAGAAATGTGGGTGAAGGGAGACAGCAGACAGTGTAAGATAAGAAAATAACAATAATTTATAATTTGTCAAGGGGTCACGAGAATGGGATGGTGGAGGGAGGGGAAAAAGGAGGAGCTAATACCAAGGGCTCAAATGAACGAAAATGTTTCGAAAAGGATGATGGCAACATATGTACAAATGTACTTGATACAACTATGGATTGTTAAAAGAGCTGTAAGTGCCCCCAATAAAATGATTTATATTAAAAAAAAACCTGCCAACTTATAAATTCAATAATAAAACTTGGGCTAAAAGAGAGACTGGCTTATATTTCTTTGTCAAGGAACCAATGGTAGCTCCATATAATAACAAACAGATGACAAGAAAACCTGATTTGTTATGAAAAGTCATGAATTACATATACTACATGTTTCTTCCAAATCCTGCTTAACTTGTGGAGCAAGAGACCTGGGAGATAATTTCACTCTTTGGCCAGATCGCCACCTAGCTGTAGAATAGCAATACTGCAAATTGTACTGTAGTACCTAAATTTTATTTTAGCCTATAGATTAAGAATTGGGTTTCTGTTAGCTAAAATACAGACTCCTACTCATATTAGAGTATTAGTATTACAGAAATTTTTGTAGAATAGGTGAAATGGGAGTTGAATCTTAAAGGAAAAATAAAAATTTATTTACATGATTCCTGAGTAGATTCCAGAGACTGAACTCATAATACCAGGTTAAGAGATTACAAATGTTGAGTGAAAACAGATGTGAAGATAGAAGATATTTCACAATCGATAACCTCATTTTTCACAGGGAAAAATCGCAAGGACTAAAGGGGGGGGGGGCTACTGAAGGATAATTAACGAGGTCTATAATGTTTATTAAAATGAATCACACAAGAGAAGATCACAAAAAGGAAACAAATGATTAGCTCTTAATTTTTTTACTGATATTGATGTATTACATTAAGATCTGTAATCTGGGCAGCCAAAATTCAAAGACTGGTTATTTTAAGAATTCAAATTGTAAAGCTATTATATCTTTAAAAACTTCCTTTGCATGCAAAAATACTCTAAGCTAATTTCTTGGCATACATTCTGTGCTTTCCCATACTAAAAGTTACATTAGCTACAAGAACTTAACTACATGTAAGAAATTAAAGCTAAGTAAAATGACAATAAAATCTAAAATCTCTAAATTCAGCATATATACAGGGACTTCAAAAAGCTTGCAGAAAATGAAATTAAAATATAATGTATTTCTTTCTGAGAATTTTTGAAGGCTCCTCATACATAATCAACTTCAGAATTTATACTTATTTGAATTACTACAGCTGTGATTATTCTTTTATCGTGGTCTTAATTATAATTGAGAACTTTAATAGTTAGTGGATATAACGTAAAAAATCTTTCTCCTTTTCTATCACTAACCTAATACCAGCTACAACTTACTGAGGCTTGGCTCACATAGATTTGTATCAGATTCTTTGGAAACATGAGTTCACTTAAACTCTACATATTACAATCCTGGTATTACACATCGGAAAACAGATGCATAACTAGGCTGGATCATTTGTCCAGGAGCCCAAGAATTTCAAAGTCTCTTCTTTTCCCACCAAATTATTTTCACCATCTATTTTCTTCACACAGTCCCGAAATGTCATTCAATTACCAGTGAAAACATTCTACTTTTTAAATATTTGAGGTTAGATGGTAGCATTAAATTTTAAAATAGTAAATTTAATGACTGTGGTAGTTACATAATCTGGTGTCAACTTGAGACTACAAAGAGTGAAGGGGTGGAGTTTAGGCTGCACTGAGATGCTTCTACTGTCACTGGATCCACAAGACTTTGCACCCACTGGCCTGCAATCTTAATGCATTCAGCTTCATTGCATGTGTTGCGTGAGTCTGAAGAGGAATTTATAGACTGGTATCAGACATATGGGCTAATATTGGACTTATGGACTTGATCTAGACTGGGCTGGGATGTTTTCTTAATATACAATTACTCTTCATATAAAGCTCTTTGTTACACACATGTGAATCTATGAATTTGTTTCTCTAGTCAACCCAGACTAACACAATGAAAAATAGCATAATCACACTTGCTATTAATTTTACTATTTGGCAGCAGCAAAAACTTCAAAGTACTAACTCAATACAAAAACATGAGGACAATCAGAGTGCCATTTTTAATGAAATCTTCTTAACTACCATCATTCATCTGTCAATATTTTGTACTGTGGTGGCTTGCATGCTGTGATGTCAAAAGTTTTGCCACCAGCGTTTCATACCAACTGGGTCACCGATGGTATACAGGTGTCAATGGAGGTTCCAAACTGACAACAGACTAGGAAGAAGGAAGAAGCTGTCCCCTTCTGAGGGATTAGCCAAAGAAATATTTATGAATACCAGTGGAACATTGTCTG